TTAAGTCATTATTCAAAGTCTTGCATCCTGCAGAACTGATGCTGTACTTCACTATTTCCTTTTTCTTTCTCCTCACTGGCTCTCTGCTCATGGGTGCTACCACATAACACAGTGCAGCAATGCAGCTTCCCATTTATGTGGTATCACTGACACAGAGAGTCTTTATTTTTCCTATTATTCCTTTATTTTATATAAATCTTCTTTATCTATCATCCAGCCTAGTCTCCTCTATTTTGTCTCTTTCAATAAGTTCCAAATTCTGGATATTTCCTCTTCTATCTCCAACACTTGGAGAAAGTTCTTCCCTATTGTTTTAAACCCCATCTCAAAAACCTTCTTGTTGGTTAATGCTCTTTCTAATCTCTTGCTTCTCTCATCTTTTTCTTTGCAAAACAAATAGTAATTTGTTTTCCTGCAGGGTGGATTTGTTTGTTTCAGTTACTCTCACCCAGCACTTTGGATCAAAGAACTATATAATTTAAAATAAGATGTCCTGACAATGTGAAACAAACCCCCCTTGAATAAGTGCTATCTAAGATTGCATATAGGCTCGTAGCATCCATTTATGTGGGTATTTCCCACCAGTTTAGGTCTTAGAAACCTAAATATAGATGTGAGGTGCCCAACTGCTATTTCTCAGACTTGAGCTTAGGTTGTATCAAAGCCTGATTTTAGATGGATAAATAATAAAAAAAAAAAACCCTGAACCTTCTGATACTCATAAAATGCAAATCCTAGCAGAACCCCGTAAGGGTAATATTTTTATCCTTGTCCCAATCTTAAGGATTTCCTGGTCAGTTTATATGTGATGCTTTATCTCTGGTCAGAAAGCATCCGCGCCATCTTATACCTTCCCCTGGCCATTACTTCAAGGAAGGCCGATGGGAATGATTTTGTTAGGAGACAGAAATCTCCTCCAACAGTCTTTGATGTGGGAGACACAGCCACATCCCATGACTAATCTTTCCATAGGTCACAGGCCAGCTCACCCTGAGACTTATTTGCATTCAGACACTCTCCAGCAATATCCTGTTTTCTAATTTAGGAAGTACTGATGATTATACATGGGTTTTGGCTCATTCGAATTCCTTCCCTCTCCACTCTCCATTACATTGACAATTCATCTCCATGCATGTGTGAAGGCAGGATGAAAATTTCTGTCTCTCAAAAGAGACAAAATGCCATTGTTTGCTCTGATGTCTGCTCCCTGCAAGAGAATGTGCTAGGGTTGCATTACCATGCCAGTCCTTCTTTAGATGTTTTTACCTCATCCTCACACTGGCAGTGTGGTTTTTCCAAACCTACATCTCACCTTTTCCTCCTGTTTGCAGGCCCAGCTGCTATTTCTTCCCTGACGGGCTTCTTTGTTGCAATCTGACAGTCAGTCCCACTGCTGCTCTTAGCTCCTTTACACACCCTTAACTTTAGATGCCTCAGCTTGCTTTGAGTTCAGTCAAATATTTTCATTTCCCTTTCCATACAGACAATGTTTTTCCCTTTCCCTTCCAGATTAAATTCTCTCCCACACAGACGATTGTTTATCCCTCTCCAAAGGTCATCCAGAAGGTGGTTTCATAACCAGTTCGACCATTGATGGGTCTTACAGTGCTGTCCTGATTCTCTTGCAGGTGAGATGTGGGAGATGCACCATGTGTCACGTGTGGGTCTGATTGGGCTTGCCAGCAAAGTAAAACCCTAAGCAAAGATTGTTCCCAATCTAGCAAGCTGCTATCAGTCTATTGCCTCCAGCCCAGCCTGGCTCATCACACAGCAGTGAGGAACAGCAGCCAGCGCCTGTCTGGTCAGCCTTACATATGAACGAAAGGAATGCAACCTCCTTCCGCTGCCTTCCCACCCCCCGCTCCTCAGCCCATGGTTTTCTTATTTTCATGTACTGCAGTAAATCCCTTTGATCCAGCAAGTGGACTTTGCACGTGCAAGTTGGGTGATGAGCCCCAATCTGCCTCACTGCCTGTTGAACCCCACACTGAGAGCTCTTTGTCTGCCGGGGCACTCGCACCCTTTTGCACAGAGCCCACACTGGCAGATTGCTCTCGCATGACACACTAACAAACCAAAGGAAAATATCTCGCAATCATTTCAGACCCTCTGGCTCAGCCACTGACTAAGCCAAGTGGCTACTAGCAATTGGCACTGCTGGGTTGCATTCGCAACCCACACCACAAAACTCAGCTCAGGCATGAAAAAAACAAAGTACTGATGGAAAAAAGGGCTCCTTGTCCCTAGCCCTGAAGGCTGCAGGGGAAAGGAGGCAGCCTTGCCATTTATAATTCAGTCCCAAATTTCCACACCTATTCCTCTCTCTGACCCTTTCTTTGCAGGGGCAGGAGCTCCCTGTGGGGAGCCTAAAGAGGTTAGTGTGAACAAATTTAATGTCTGGATTGTACCAGGTCTGAATTAAGGCATCCAATGGTCAGTGTTTTTTAAGGGAACAGAGCACCTAAGCAGTATGAAGGGGTCTGAATGACTTTGTGCTTTGGACTCAAATAAGTGATAAGCCCATCACCTCCCTCCCCCCAGTTCACTCCAGTTATGCCCCAGATGTAAATGTTCAAAGATATTTAGACAACCTGTTTTCCACAGACAAAAATGAGAGACAGGTTCCTACCTGCTCCCAGGTTCTCCATCAAAGATGTGTTTTAACAACAAGGCTGCATTCAGCCCTCATCAAAAAGGGAAACCATGCTTTCTAGACAGCTGTGCACAGCTAGGATATGGGCAGGGGCAAGGTGGTTATACAGATCCTAAGACAGGAGAGCTCCTCATTCAGGTTTGTATTCCCTCTTGTCTTTTGCCTTCCTGCTTTCCACTTTCCTGACAACCTATGCCATCTGCTTAGGACACAGTAAATGGAAACAGAAACACTCCCATGAAGTACTAAATGGTTTAGGGGCTGGTTAAACCACTGATGGTTTAACTGGCAAAATGAGAAAGGTAGCTGAATCCTCTAGGTAAGGTGCTGGGAGTGGGAGCTGTGGGCACCACACCCGGACAGCTGCAGTCCCATCATCTGATAAACATCTTCCCCATCTGCCAGCAAAGGTGGACTTGCCTTTCTCACCATGTTGAGTGCTGCTGTGGATGGGCAGACTCAACACATCGTGGTCTAAGGCTACTCAACAGAAGCATCACAGGGCCAGTGAGAAATGTTTCTCATGGCCGAAATGTAAAACATGAGATTTCACATGCTGATGTTAGAGGGGAAAAGGTTTTGACCTCAGATACTAAATTCAAGCAGACCTAAAGCTGGGTTCAAAAGCATGCAAAATCTTACAAGGTTTTGACACCAAAGGGTAAAGGTGTTAAGAGATTAGTAGTTTTTGCAAGTGCCCTCCAGGAATCCATTACCCATATCCCCACCTACTGGGTGAAACTCCACAAGTTCACCCTTTCCGGGCTATTGTGTCACATCCCTGACTAACTTCAGGAAAAGCTAGGTAAGACTCATCACTTTCAGCTCAAGGGGGAACATGGGGGTCACATCTGAAGAAACAAGACCACTGGGTTAACTGCTCTCATACTCTTCATTTGTGCCTTCATGGAAGCTATGCTGTCTGCTGGGAGGCTTTGGCTGGGATGTCCCACCAGACAGCTCCGTAGGGGTCCAGCCTCACAGCAGCACTGGCGCTACAAGGAACCAACCTTCTGACCATGTTGATGCAGATTTTAAAATGATTGTATTACTTTCACTGGCTTTCAAATCACTGGATCAGAGGTGAGGTCACTCCTGGCAAGGTGGCTATCCCCAGTAAAAGCACTAGAAAGTCCATATAAAAGATCAAAACCAATGCCTTTTATGTCTTAGTATGATTTATACTTCAGACCATGTAACTTTTACAGGGCTGCCTAGTATTTGATGGATGCAGCTCTCTTAACAACTCACATATTTGTCTGATTTACTGCATTGGCCCAACGCGTTATTTTCTACCTTGCAAGAACAACCTTGCTTCTAGGAATCTGCCTGCATGATAAGATTGTGAATTAAATGTGCAGTTATCGTAAAAGACCACACATTTTACAGTAAAATTGAGAAAACTGATTACAGCAATCCCTCTGGAAACAAGAATAATCACATGATAAGACAGTGCTAATGGGAATTTATCATCTCTCATCACGTGTGAAGCTTAGAACAAAGCAGCAACCTGTGTGAACTGCATAGCTGTTAATGCCTATGAACACCAGCCGAAAAGCTACTGGAGAGTATGAAGAAACGAGAGGAGAGTGGGGAATTTGAACTATCAAACCTAACCAATTCAGTGTGCTTCAACCAGCTTACACAGTGAAGCTCATATACAACATTTGTAAATGCTATCCAAAATAACAGCCTCACATCTATCCATACATCCTATTCCCTCTCTACCTACACTATTTCATTCAAACTCCATGTCACTCTTTTACTTGTTCTCACTATATTTTAGCACCAGAGAAGTCCAAGATCACGAGTATCTGAAGGGTATGTGCATCTGCGTGCCTACATGTCTGCATCTACACACACGCTGTCTCATGCACATTATTCCTAAACCATGTATCTAAGATCCGAAACACATTTTCTCTTTCCCCCATACAAAAGGCAACCAGAACCTACCCACGCTATTTTCTATTTGAAGCAAGTAACACTTGACTAAAATTAACATTTTTAAAGTTGTCTTGGAGAAGTGAGTGCCAAAAACCCAAAGTGGAATGCACACAGTTTTAACGTGAATGATATATCTACATCCCTTAGGTAGCCTAAAATTACTCTGCATCAAGCCCCAAAAGACATATGAAACCCCAACAGGTTAATGGTAGGTGGTGAACTCCTCTGTTCTATTGAATAATGAGTACATTTGCTGGCCTCCCATATTTTTCCACTGCCCTGTTTCGTAGACAGAAGCCTGGACATTCATTAGATTTTTTTTCTTTTTTAAATGAGAATAAAAGGAGATGGTTATGGTTACGTGGCAGGAGGACAAGATGAGAGAAGCATCCTACATAAGTACCTGTATGAGTCCTCTGGTGAGCCTTTAAGTGGGAGCTCTTTGTATAAACTTTCCGGCACCCATTAAACTGACAGCGATGAACCCTCTTCTTGTTTTCTGGAGATGCTTCTGTCCCCATACCTCCTTGTTCACTGTCACTTTGCCCGCTTTTTATCGTCCCCGCAGTCGCTGTTGCTACACCCACTTTTACAGAGCTGAGTGAAGTTTTCTTGGCCACCAATTTCAATGTCACTGTGCCATCCACCGCTGAGAGAGTCTGTGAGGTTTTTACAAGGTGGCGGCTGAGCTCTGGCGAGGAAGGAGGAGTTAATGAGGTTACTGCATTGAGTTGGGCCTGGTTGACGGCTGTGTAGCCTTCTGTGGAAGAGCTGGTGGACTGCGAGCTGAGGCACGTCTCAGACAGCAGCTTGTCACGTGAGAGGATAATGTCCATGTTGGCGCTTTTGTCACATGTACTCGTCTCCACTGGTAAAAGGATGGGGTCCAGCTGTTGGATATTGTCCTCTGCATCTGGGGCTGAGGAGGCATGAAGGAAGCAGTCCAAATCCTCACCAAAGGTCTCAGAGATCTTGCGCGGTTCAGTCTGAAGGTATCGTTCTAACTCCAGGCATGTCTGCAGAAGGGAGAGAAACTACTGTTAGACAGAGATTACAGCATAGCTCTCACCTAGGGCAGGAGAACAATAAGGCCCAGTGCCATTCAAAGACATCTCTCATGCACACCAACTCCTTCTCGTGAGATGGTTACACATTGGGAGACATGAAGATTTGGCACTTGTTTGATGCTGCTGCAAGATGAGTCTGGCAATACCCATGTATGGTAGCAGGTATTATAACAAAAGTGAAGATATGACAACCAGAAAGCATCCACTTTTCATTAAAGTCTATACATTGTTCATGGGTACCAAGGTTTTCCCAATTTTAAGTGTAATCTGTTCAACAGTCACTTCCATACGAAACAATCCTAATGGACCCATTGCCTGGCCACATGCAAACAAAAAGTCACTTCTCCAAATAACTGCTTTCTCTTCCTTCACAAACATTAACTTTCACTCCAAATTTAACTCTGCGTAGCTGGCTGGGGCCCAATCTGTTCCTAAAACAGGACAATTCTGAAGTGTAGCATTTTAAGATAGAAGACAGAGAAAAACTTCCAGTGACACCACAGCTTGTTTAAAGGGCCGAGAGAAGGAAAGGAGACAGAAAAAAATGGTCTACTGTCAGTTTTAGAGGGATTTTTGGCACATCTGGTCAAATGGGGCTTCCTGTGTACAGGACACCGGACTTGCACACAAACACACACGCATACCTTATTAAAAAGTAAGTGAAGTTGCAATCAAAGAAGCTGCCACATAAAACGTGTTTCTGCATCTCCACAGCAGTGATCACCAGTACGAGCATGGGGGGAGCCTTCTACGTGAATGTGCCCTATTATGAGGTGCCCTGAGCTTGCCCAAATAAAGCCTCCAAGCACCATCACACTGTCCAATGTTCTTCATAGCCAACAGTATAAACTTTTATTGTTTATAGAAAACCGTCTGCTCTAGTTTCATGAGCTTTTAATGGAGTTTATTAGCACTGTTTCTCATTTCTCACTGCCTGAAAGAATAGCTGGTTAATACCACCACTGTGATTTCACAGGACTTGGATCTAACTAATACTTTTTAGAAACCTCTGAAAACTACTCCTCAGAGAACACTTCTAGAGATATTAAGAAAGGGATTTTGGCAAAAATTTTGAGTCTATGGGAGCTGGCGACCCAACTATATCTCAATCTGGAGAGTCCATCATCTGATCAAGAAATAAAAGCTTTGTATGACTAGAGGAGAGACAGAGACTTCTGCCTTCTGCGTACAAAGGTCCCATCAACAGGAGTGTAAAGAGGCCCCACTCAGCTCTCTAGGAGCTGCCAGGTAATTCAGGCTTATTACTTTCAAAGCTCCTATGAAGCAGCACTGCTGGTTGTAGATACAATGTGGTGGGATGACTTTCAGAGTTCTCAGTGAAATCTGCCACACTATTATCTGTTGTTTCCTCTTAAAACAATAGCTGATTATAGATCTGAGTTGTAGAGATGGACTTGGACAAAAAGCAACAGAACAGCAATATATGCAAGCGAGATGCCATACTTCATCACGTAGGTTATTTTCAGAGGTATGAGACTGCACAGTCCTGGGGGTGGGACATTTATCAATTGTACTTGCCTTTAGCAAACTTTCCATTTTCTTTATAAGGTGCATTTCTGGGACCATAAGAAACAACTTTAGCTAGAAATCTGGTCTCTCCCCAGGTAAGTCCTAATGGGTTTTGGGAGAAGCTTTCCAACGTGCCCCACAGTCTTTCAGGAATAAACCCCATCACCAGAAGAGGCAATGCTTTTCAGTTCACCACATCATGTAATTTGGGCTTTCTGGTCCACTTAGCCTTCATCTAGTGGGGCAGAAACAGGTTTAGGGGCCTAATAAATAAAAGGCTTCCAGAGGAAAGAGCAAGCATAATCACGAATTAGGGGTGGAAAGGGGGGCAGCAGGGGGGATGAGAGAGAAGGACTCAAGGCCATTAAATCTGATGACAGTGACATGAAATTTCAATTGCTGTGGGATCAGAAAGCTGCATGCCAGCTCTGGGCTGCCCGTGGAGGGGAGGCAAGCAGGAGGTGCTGCTCCTTTAAGGCATCACTACCCCATGACAACAATAGTGGGTCTGACAGTTTTTTCCAGCTTCACCATTAATTTTCCATAAAGAGCAGTTTCTCGATGAGCCCCTTTCAGGCAAAGCCTGATGCTTCAGAAACCTGTAATTATTCCTGGCTCCCCCCTCCCGCAGCCACTGCACCTGTGCCATTTCAAGACACCAGCTGGTCATGTCTTGCCTTCTGCCTCTGAAATCCAAAACCAGTGGATCAAGCCCATCTCCCCATAGAGGGGGGAGAAAAACAACTCCAAGAAACAATATAATGAGGTCCCTCCCTCCCAACCCCCTCAGCCTCTTCACCAAGTCAATAGCGGGGAAGAGCCTAGCAACACTGAGCCAGAAAAGCCCTGCACCTAATCTGCATGGCAGACAAAGCCTGGCGAGGGGCTACAGCCACAGCCCTTCCTTTACCTCCTGCCAGGGCCCTACCTGCTGCTGCATTTGCCAGAGCAGGCTATTGCCCACAGAAACAAAGCATCTTTCCCCATATGCACTTCCCAGCTTCTGCCAAGTACCTTATGCGACTTTCTCTCCTTGCGGTCCAAATCACCCAGGGAGTGGTGGGGAAGGGTTTAGAAACCAGCCTGCTTTCTTCATTCCTGCCCTGGCATGACAGTTTTTAGCTCAACTAAGCCCACCCTTTGCCTTGAGCTCTGAACTGGAGAAACCAGTCAGGCTGAGACCACCAAGGTTCCCCACTCCAGCCTGGTGGACCATCACGAGAGGCAGGAGAGCTCTCCATTTCCACAAAGCCATTTGCCAGCAAGCGCATCAGAAACTATCAATTTTTTTTTGTGGAGGCAGCAGGACATTGACCACTACCCACAGAGATATGTACCCAAACAGCTGAATTCAAATGATGGTGAACCCCTGTAGATTTCCTACTTCCACTACAAGTCTGGTAGGAAAACGGTTCAAGAATATCAAAGATAGCAGTGAGATGCTCTTGCCATAGTGCTGCTTGGATGTCCAGCTTCTCCTTAACCACTCATGCAAGAGAGAGGGAGCTTTGTGTAACACACATGACATTAAGTCTGATGATCCTTTGGTTGCTACGTTGCAGGCAACTTGGTGGGTATCAAAATTTCTTACCCAGTGCCTGTAGGATTTACAGCAGTAAAGACTTTAAGAATTGCAATGGGAAGAAGAAGATGGTTCCCTTCAGGAACACAAAAAGAAGATCAGTAAGACTGCTGTTTGCTGTCAAGCCAGTTTCACAGGCTAGGGATAAAAAGTGACCTACTACTTCAACCCATCTGCCCTGATTAATGAGGGTCATTCTCCTTGCACCTTGCTCCTCAATTTAACCAGTTAAAAAAAATGATGATTCATGGCTGACAAATAATAGGATGTGACTTTGCAAGACCCCACGCACTTGCAGAAAGCCAGACAGAAAAGGATGGTAGTCTGGCAGTGGACAATGCTGTCAAGGCCTCAGTCTGATTTTTCAATTTTGGATACAATTGAAAAAAGGCTCATTTCCCCAGCAAAGGAACATTTCCATCACCTCCAAGAAACACTGTGTTTTCTACCTGTAACTCTGAACAGCTCTTCTCTCCCCGTATCATAATATCATCCCAGTTCTCTGGGGTACATATAGCAGCAGAATACATGTAAACTGCACACCCTGACACTTCCATGTGCAGTACCAGATCCTTCAGACAGTACAAGACAGCTACAGTTACAGCTACAGTAGTGCTGTCCTATGCCTGGTAAGGACCTACTTCTTGTTAGTCCTTTCAGAGTTTGTAGTAGCACTGATAGAGGAAAACTCAGTGTTCAGTAATGTATGACCTCAATTCAGACTCAATTCAGAAAGGTATGACCTCTAATCTAGCTTTATTCTTACCCCTAGAGCCCATCTAAAGTTCATATACTGAAAGTAAAGATTATTTACCAAATACACCCACCACTAGGAAATACAATGCAAGAGAAACCCCGCCCGTGTGTACCTCTGATAGCAGAGATGTGATACGCATGTACCATTTTCAGCACAGCTTAGCAGCTACCTAATTCTGAAGCCAGCAGAAATCAAGTTTCGCTACTAACTGCAACAATAACATGACAAACCCCAGACTTAGCAATTCCTCCCAGACTTGCAAATACTCAGTTTGGCTCAGAGAGCCTAAGTTTTAGGGAGTCTGTCAGCTGCGCAGGTTAAAGCACAACCCAGAACATTCAAAACCGAGATACGAAGGAGCTGGAGTCACCACTCATGATGTTCATGTTTGACTTCATCCCTCTCCCCCAGAGCAGAGTCAGGAGGAAGGATCTAGCTGGGACAACCACCATCATCAGTGTGCCAAACCTCAAGGCATTATAAGGTTATTATTATTATAAGGCCTCTGTCTCCCCTTTGGAGACCGATGGGGTAAAGACATGGCTGTAGACCAGGAGCCTTCGCAGGGACACAAGTTTGGCATTTGGGTTCAGGTCCAGACAGCTCTGGAAAACCTAATTCCAACTGATGACCCAAGATAAACTCACAGTTCCCAGGGTATAAATCTAAACTTGCTCCAATGAACTCCAAAAAACCAGCCTTGGTTGACAGCCATGTTGTGCATTGGACTTTGACCCATACATATAGGCTTTTGAAAAATCACAGGTCACTTCAGAAGCATCTGCCTGTGCTGTGAAGTCTTTAACTCAAACTCCTGGGCATTTTGCACAGTTAAGACAGGACAATATGGCAACAGTAAGTTCTGCCAAGGGTAAAAGAAAGCCCAAACATTTATAATAATTTGAGGACAGAAAGTCAGGGAAGACACCTTATTAGCAGGTTCACTGAGTTCCTCTGTTTTATTGATGCTCAAGTATTTTATAACATCTTGATTCTGAATTTTTCTAGTAGATCATGAGAAGTTCTTATCTGGAAGTGCTAGTTCCTTCTAAGTGCCATTTTACTGCAGATATAATTGGA